ATCTATCCTGTGTTTTTCTTCTTATACATGTGCAGATTAAATTTACTAGCAATTTATTTAGGATCTTAGCATCTAGGTTCTTGAGAGAGGTTGGGTTGTAATTTGCATTTCTCATAATATCCTGATCTGGTTTTTGTGCCAAGATTACACTAGCCCCATGAGTTTATTGTATTGCCTGTTTTTATTATTTTATAGTCATTTGCAAAATTGAAATTATATATTCTTTGTTTGGTAGTAGTCACTGTTAAAATAAATAACCTAGTCTTTGTTCTTTTAGTGAGAAAAACCTAAATTACGAATTCAGTTGCTTTAGTGATTCAGAACTATTGTTTCTTTTTTTTTTTTTTTGAGTCTTTTTAGCAGGTAACTATATTACATAAATTTATTTAATTCATCTAAATTTTCAAATATATTTGCATAAACTCATAATATACCCTTTTTATTTAGATGAGGTTATTGAAAGGCAATATGGCATAGTTGCTAAGAGAATGTACTCAGGTAGCTAGGTTTAATCCACACTCCAGTACTTAAAATGCATGCTAGTTTGGCCAAGTTATTTAATGTCTCTGTTCTTTAGTTTTTCCAACTATAAAATAAGAATAATAGTAGTGATTCATATAGTTGTCATGGAAATTCAATGAGTTTAGTATTTTAAAGTTTTTAGAACAGTGTGTGAAACTTAGCTGGTGATATATGTAACTATGAAAATTTAAAATGTATCAAAAACCTTTTCATATTTCATTTTTTTCTGAATTATGTTTAATTTTCAATTTTGTTTGTTAGTTTGTACTTATGAGTTAGTTGTTAAATTTTGTACTCCTGGGTTAGTTATTCTAATTTTTACTTCATTGTTGTTGGTGGTCATTTACAATTTAATTGCATTGTAGACTGACAGTATGATCTTTATGATACCAACTTTAAAGAAGAAGTAGACAATGCCTTATGGCTTAGCAAACATGATTAATATTTAATAGGTTCTGTATGGTTGAAAATAATGAATATTGTTCAGTTTGGGATGTAATGTTTAAATATGTCCATTCAATCAATATGGTGAATTGTGTATTTCAAATATATAACTTATTGTATATTCAAATCCACATATATAATTATTTTTTACTCCTTGTTCAAAACATTATTGAAAATTAATGATAGTGAGTTTGAAACTCCTTAATGTAGCTCAGCCCATTTTAAAAAATATTTTTTGATCTAGTGATTAGACATATTCATATTTTAGAATCATGATATCTTTCAGGTGAATTGAATATTTTATCATCATGCAGTGACCTTTACCATGTTATGTTTTTTCCTTAAATTAAATGTGTCTAATATTAATATAGATATATCAGCTTCTAATCTTAGTGTCTTTATTTGTTTAGATGACTCTTGAAGACAATGTGCAGCTGGATTTTGTTTTACTTTTATCGTCTTAGAATTTATTACTTTTAACGGAACCCAATCAATTTGTATTTATGTAAATTACAAATCTTTGGAAGTTTTTTATTGCTTTGTGGTTTCTCTTTGTCATACTTTTTAATATTTTTTATTTATTTATTACATTCTCTTAAGAGTGCTAAATTTAGTTTTTATCTAGTATTTTTTACTGTTTTATAAATTGCACAGTATATGCATATTTCTTTGGCAATCACCCTAACTTTTTTGTTTAAATTTTTATGGATACATAAAAGTCAGACATATTTCTGGGGAACATATGAATTTTGATATGAACATACAATGTATAGTAATAAGTCTGGTTAATTGGGAGATCCTTCACTCAAATATTTGTTATTTCTTTGTGTTGAACATTGTAAATTTACTCTTTGAGTTATGTTGAAGTATATTTAAAATAAAAGCTAAAGTAAGATAATTTACTTCTAATCACAACTTCATATTAACTTATTATTGTTCAATAATTTATATTTTGACATTTTAAAGTTTTTGTCAGCCAAATTACTTTCTTATACTGTTTTATACAGATTTAATTTATATTTATCCTCTTGTTTACCAACTTATTTTGTTTTTCACTCATTCCTTCTTGTATTTAGTATTTCTTGGGATCATTGCCATTTCTCCTAAAGTACTGCATTCGTTAGGAAGATCTTTAGGGAACGTATTTTGGGAGTAAATTATCAGATTTTATTTGAGAAAATGTTCTTCATCCTTGTATTAGAATGTCATTATGTCCAAGTGTACAAATAAAGTTTAGGGGACAGTTATTTTTTCTTAGCACTTTAAAGATATTATTTGATTTAGACTGAGGCAGAGATTTCAGTGAGCCAAGAATGTGGCACTGCACTCCAGCCTGGGTGACAGAGTGACACTCCATCTCAGAAAAAGAAAAAAAAATTTTTTTTAATTCTACTTTTATTCTAAGTAATTATTCCTGTGTAGATTTTTCCATCCCCAAAGTCAGGCTGTTTTTAAGATGTTTTCTTTGTTTTTCTTTAGTGTTATTATAATGAGCCGTTCTGTACAATCATTTCCTCTTTCTGTATTTCCTCTCTTCATTTCCATTATCTTCTTCTGGTTATTAGACTACATTTTTGTCTTATATCATTTAACAACGTATTTTCCACTTATCTCTGATGCATTCCTGTTAATTTCTTCAAATATGACCTCCAATTCACGAATTTTCTCTTTAGTTATTTAAAATGTATCATTTTATAAATTAATTACATTATACAATTTATTGAACTACCACATATGATATATATATAATACAATTTCTAAATAGTTATTTTCAAATTTGTCTGGACTTCTTATAAGTTCTTTTTCCATTCCTGTCCTTTCAAATTCCTTCTTTATATATTTAAACATATAATATTCTCTTATTTTATATTTTATATCTGGTAATTTTAATATTTGAAATCTTTGGGGTCTAAATTTAATATATTGTTTTTGTTTCTGTTAAAAACCATAGTTTCTAGTTTTTTTAAGAAATTTCTGTGGGGGTGGGAGGTTATTATAGTTATATGTGAGCCCAGTTTTGACAGAAATTTATTGTTGGGAATTCTATAGTATTTGGATAGGCTGTAATTCTCTAAAGGAAATTTACATATGCTTTTTCCAGTTATCTGTAAGAGCTGTGAACACAGCTTTGTTTTAAATTAAATTCTCACATGCAGTTTGAAGGACAATAAAGTTTCTTTGGATTTGAAACTCAAGGGTATATAAAACAGTATCTGTGATTATGAGTTTTTAGGAAATACTTTAATCTCCTTCTCCTTCTCCATCCATAGCCACAAGCCAAGACATAATGTGTCTGCTTCCTCTGTGGTATGATTTTTTTTTTCTTGTGGATGACTAATTATTTTTTTTTTCTTGTACATGACTAATTGACAGTGTAGCTCTTTGGGATCCTATACAGATGGTCCCCAACTTACAGTGGTTAGACTTATGATTTTTCAATGTTAGGATGTGTGAAAGTAATAAACATGCAATAGACACTGTATTTTAAGGACCCATACAACCATTCTGTTTTTCCTTTTCAGTATAGCATTCAATAAATTACATAAGATATTCAACACTTTATTATAAAGTAGGCTTTGTGTTAGCTGATTTTGTCCAACTGTAAGCTAATGTAAGTGTTCGGAACAAATTTAAAGTAGGCGAACCTAAGCTGTTATGTTCAGCAGATTAGGTGTATTCAATGCATTTCCAGCTTAAAATATTTTCAACTTATGGTAAGTTTATTGTGATGTCAACCCCACTTTAAGTCAAGAAGCATCTGTATATTTTTAGGAGCTCTTAGTTTTAATTCCCCATCTTTTGGGAGCCCAATGTCTTGTTTTAAATGCTCTGACCAGACACTACATTTCCAGATGTGGCCAATGTCCCTAGAGCAGGTATGAGCTTCAGCATTTCTTTACCACTATAGCTTTGTGTTCTCATAATTGTTTTACCTTCAGAAAGTTCTACTATCTCTTTGAAAGTTTAGCTATTTTTAACAGTATGACTTTAATACTCTATACTGAATTCTAGGCAAAATGAAAGACACTTGTTTAGCATATTGTTGGAAACCATGGAAGAGCTTTTTTGTATTAAAAAATAGTTTTATCTTCACATTTAACTTTCAGATATGTGCATTCTTAATCTCAGTTCATTTCTCTCTAAAATTGATGAGTTCATGTCCTTTGTAGGGACATGGATGAAACCAGAAACCATCATTCTCAGCAAACTGACACAAGAACAGAAAACCAAACATTGCATGTTCTCACACATAAGTGGGTGTTGAACAATGAGGACACATAGACACAGGAAGAGGAACATCACACACCAGGGTCTCAGGAGTAACAAACCTGCACAATCTGCACATGTACCCCAGAACTTAAAGAAAATTTAAAAAATAAAATAAAATAAAATTGACCACACATCAATTATTTTATTTTATATAATAATTAGGTGTACACAAGAACTGACATAATGCACAGCATGATGAGTTTTATAATATAAACATGTTTAGAGTGCTTTGAGAGCATTAGGAAAGGTATTTATTCAGGTAGCTTTCAAGGAAGGCTTTCAAGAGTTGCCAAAGATGATAATATTCTTTCATGCCTCATGCTGAATAAATGGTGCAAAAAAAAATCCAAATAGAAACTCTTTTATTACCTATATAGTCCTATCTTATATGACATAAAGAACCATTTGGGGTCAGTCAATGGAAAATTTACTCAAAGTAGATGAGAATTTACAGTATTTTTATGTACTTCTATCTTCTTTCGAGCATTCTGAAATAGGTGTCCACACTGAATAGAGCTGAAAGTTATGTTCCCATTTAACTCATTAGACATTTTCAAAGAGTGTTCTGCTGGGAAAAGAGAAGTGGACTTTGCATACCTGACTAAAGAAGTCTCACAGGACAGTAGGCATAATGATGCCATGAGTGTCAGAAAGCCTGGACTCTATTCCCAGCTGGGTCACCGTTTACCCATATAAACTTAAGCAAGGTATTTGACATCAGCATCCAAAAATAAAGATATTCTTCTTGTGTACTTTGTCCACAGAAACTCCCAAGCCCAATGTCTCCAAACAAGGATCTAAAATGCTGGCAAAAAGTCTTCAGCTATGTCAAAGATGTTTTCTCGATATGATACTAACATTTCCAGAAATTCTTCACCAACTCACCATGATGAGCACTAAAGCTTTTGTACCTGCTATAAGCATGCTTACTTCTCTTAGAAAATAAAATTATTTTAAAGCATAGTACAGTGTCTTATAAGATGATTCCTGTACTACTGAAAATAAAAGCAAAAAGTGTAAAAGGGACCAGGTAAAAGAAAGGTTTAAAGTGGGTAACCCCCCATCTAGGCACCAAGGAAGGACAGCTAAGCAGATTCCCAGCACAATTAGTGCCTGAAGAATATTTTAGTTTATAGTGTTACTACTCAGTTATTTCCTTTTATATTATCATTGATATATAATCATATATTAGTTTATAGAATGAATGCCTGAAGAATATCTTACTACCCAATTATTTCCATATAATACATATGTGTGTGTGTGTGTGTGTGTGTGTGTGTGTGTATATATCTTAGTTCATAGTCATAGAACTGCCTAGAGTAGACACGGTACAGAGCATGAATTAAGGAATAAGCAGCTTATAGTCGGAGGAATGTCTGGATCAGACATGATGCAGAGCATGATTTAAGGGAAAAACAGTTATCCCAGGACAGGAATCCATGGCCCAGGTGGCAGCGTTCAGTATCGTAAAGATACCCGCTGTATGGCAGGCTTGGGGCAAGAGCCACTCCTCCTGATAAAGGAGTTGTAGTACCTTGTGTGGAGTTGTAGTACCTTGTGTCCAGTTCTTGTGGAAGGCTGCCCTCAGACTGGCAATCCCATGAACTGAGAGCTTAAAACCCCTCCAGTATACTCGCGCCTTGGTGACTGTGAACTTTAATCAGCTCTTGTCACTGTGCTAGCTCAAAAGCATCCTCCTATAGAAATCATTGGAAGCTGCCAGCAGGTAGCGGTATACCCTGTCAGCATCATCCGATAGATATTCTTAGAAGTAGTGTGACCATAAATAAGAGATATCGCAGACTGCACCCTCTTCACTGCGCATGGCCCACCTCCTTGCCTCAGTGACCTAATAGGAGTGGACTCCTTGCTGTGCACTGCCTACCTACTAGCCTACCTAGGTGACCTGATGGGAGTGGACCCCTTGTTTATTGCTTAGGACCCTATCACTACCCTTAAAGATGACCTCACTCACCACCCTGCCCCCTAACCTATACCCAGTAAATACAGATACTTCTGGACTTTTGGGGCCTCACCTGTCTCCACTTATAGGTGGTGTGGCCCCCCTGGGCCCAGCTGAACTTGCTTTATCCTTCTGTGCCCTATCTCTTTATTTCTCAGATCCTGTGCCTCAGCACAGTGATAGAGGAGACCCCACGACCCTGTGGGGCTGTGGCCCTACAGTTAAACAAATGCTTTGGATATGCATTTTGGTATAAGAAATGTTAATAATTAGTATTACCCGCGTGCCATGAGGGTAACTGACTAAACGTATAATTAGTAAACTAGACAATGCACAATACCCATCAGGAAATGCACATTGATTTCTCCTATTAAATTTAAGAGGATGTTGTTACCAGGATAGTTATTAAATTGAGATGAAAACCAAGCTGAAAATGAAACTATGTAACTGATCAGCTTACTGTTAAAGGCATATTTAGATACTCAAATAAAATAACTCATACCAAATAAATTTTTCCCATCTGCAAGGAAAGTTAGTTTAGTTTGTGTCTTCCAGGCAGAATGATCAAACTCTAAATAAAGCACCATTTGAAAGTAAGTGATAACTGTATATAATTCCATATATGCATAAAATGGCCCCTGTGATTAAAAAAAGATAAATCACTGCAAGTAAGGTACCTCTTGTGGATAAAATATGAATCAAGAAATCATTGGTCAATAAAGTTATTAAACCATTCTCAGAAATATTAGATAGGAATAGAAATCAAGATCCATTTGTAAAAACAAAAAGTAATGGGAAAAATTTAGTAAGATGGCTAGCTAGTGCAGTGATAAAAGAATTTTTTTTTAATTAGCTGAACTTGCCACTTTGTGACAAAGTTCCAACTTCAGCATGTTCGCCTCTGGAATCCAAGGATGTTTTTAAAAAGATGCAACAGATGGACCAAGCAGCCAATACAGAATGTCAAATATCGTAACCCAAAAAGGATGATTCATGGATTTTTAGAGAATGTGTCTTCTTTTTTATCTACATGTTCTTGACAATTGCCAGTAATAAAGCAGAAACATCTGAGAAAATTTTGTTTCAAAACAGCAAATTCCCTTTAATGAAGTTGATCAGTGCAGTAATGACAGGAAATAAAAAAGTGATTACCTAGTCAAATTTTTACATTTAAATGATAGTAAATTTATTTAACTGGTGGTTTAGTCTACTTATAATAATCTCTCAAAAACAGATTAATCCCAAAAATCATACAAAATTGTCTAACTTGTGGATGCAGACCTTTTAAAAAATGACGGTTGGTGTGAAATAGCTGGAAATTCAGTTCATAATTATTTTCAAAAGAGCTGACCCTATATTAATGTGCGTTAGTTGACAGTGTTGTTGAAAGCATTCTTACAGATATCATCATCCAAACCAATGATGTTTCCCAAACTTAGGTATCACGTGCATTTAAGCTGTCTTTTAACATAATATTTCACTATAAAAATTTAAAGCACTCTGAGTCACATACTTGTGGATTTAAAAATTTAATATAAATGTAAGGTATTCTCTTATTTAAGAGGGTTTTTAATTGTGAAGGAAGTTTCCAGTTTTCTCTGACTCAAGTAGAGGAAGGAATATCAAGTTCACAATTATTCCTTGAAGTTAACAAAAGTTTAGTAAGAAATGGTTAATATTGAGAAATTTAAGCCCCAGGCAAAACTATCCAGAAATACTTTTGTATTAGATATCAGGTAAACATTGTCTTTATTTGAACTAAACTAATAGAGTAAATATGCTAAAAGTATCAAAGACCGAATTGAAAAAAAAATGTATGTTATTACCTGATAAAACCTATATTGGCTGAAATTTCTAAAAGTTAATATTAGTCTTCTAGCTAATGACTAATGCTAAAGCAAAGAAAGCTTTTAAGATTCCTAAAGTATCAAAATTATTTCTTACGTTGTTGATTCTTTCTATGTCTTACGAAAATGGACTGGAAAACATTTTATGTGAAAGACTAGAAGGTAGATATTTTAGGTTTGTTGAGTCTCTGTCAAATATACTCCACTATGCTATTGTAGCGTAAAACCACCATATATAACACATAAACAAATAATGCAGATGTGATTAAATAAAACTTTATGGACACTGAAATTTGAATTTCATTTAATGTTACATGTCATAACAGTATTTTTCTTTTTATTTTTTCAATAATTTAAAAATATAAAAATTATTCCTTGGTTGATTAAAGACAAGTGACTGGACAGATTTAGCCTTTGCTGATTTCTGTACCATAAAAATTGGAACCCATGAATAAGTTTAATATTATGTGAAGGGTACATATTACTGCCTTAAAATAATACTAGTAAAAGTTCAAATTCCATTATGAAAAAATAGTTTGTATAGTTCAAATGTTGATTTCCTTATTGAATATATTGTTGAAAAGGCATATGAGCATGCTGCTAATATATACTTTGAATCAGAAAAAGAAAAGGTAAGGCTGGCCATGGTGGCTCATGCCTATAATCCCAGCACTTTGGGAAGCCAAGAAGAGTGGATTACTTGAGGTCAGTAGTTCAAGACCAGTTTGGCCAACATGGTGAAGCCCCATCTCTACTAAAAACATAAAAAAAAAAAAAAGCTGTGCATGTTGGCGGGTGCCTGTAATCCCAGCTACTTGGGAGGCTGAGGCAGGAGAATCACTTGAACCCAGTAGGCAAAGGTTGCAGTGGGCCGAGATCATGCCACTGCCCTCTAGGCTGGGGACTTCATCTCAAAAAAAGAAAAAGAAAAAGAAGAAAAAGGAAAAGAAAAGAAAAGAAGGAAGGAAGGAAAAAGGAAAGGCTAAAGAAGACTTAGATCAAGATTTAGTTTGAAGGTAAATTTCTAGCTCAAAATTCATCTTACTTTGACAGTAGCCAATCAAAATGGATGCAGACATGAAATCAGAAGACTTGGTAGTCATTTTTGTAAAGAAATAAGCAAATAAAAACACCAGTTAATATTGCAGCAAAATAGTAGAGCACGCAGTTCCAAGCTCTTATTATGCAACAGAAATGTTGACAAATAAGTTTTTAAAAATGTCAGCAGCAAGTTTTTTAGAACTCTGAAAAACAGTCAGAAGTTTGCAACAATTAGTCAAACATTGAATCCAGAAAAATAGGAAAGATTTGTGGTATATTTACTTGCCTTTGCCCAAATCCTTTTCTCAACCCAGTAGCAGTCTTGAGCAAAGGGGTCTACATTCCAGTGCAGGACCTTTTTGAAAGAGCATAGCAGACCTCATTCTAAAACTACTGTGTATGTCTGCTTTATTTGCCACATGCACAGCTGAAGCAAGAGAGTTGTCTCTGTTTTATCTAACTGGGAACTCAGACTGGAAAATTAGTAGACATTGCTCAAAAACACTGCCAACCAAATAATAACCTGCAGATGCTTGAGGCAAAAAATAACCAAAGAACCAGGAAAAAAACCTGGGAAGAAAATCTTCTAAGAAATTAAGATGCCCATAGTTCCTATGTGGGGGAACTTAGAAAGCCAAGCAAATGTATAGGTGAAGACCTACATTCCGAAAATAACAAAAATAACCTAAGACATTACCTCAGGTTTTTCCTTTGGCACTGTGCAAGCCTAGCTAAGAATTGAAGGAGTTCTGAGCAAAGATCCAATAAGCATAGACAGAGAGACGTATTTTTAGTTGTATTCTTGTTTGCTTGTTTGTTTTCTTTCTGTTCTTTAACAAATTCAAGGAAATCTCTGTTGAAACTCTAACCAAATACCAGGAATGGATACTTCAGTGATCACACAAGGAAGAGTCTTTACGAAATCATACTGTCAAATACACTGTCAAGACACCAAACAAATAGACCACTAAAGCCTTCAGCAACTGAAAAACAACTCCAGGAAAAGGGGGATATCTGATATTCATAGTTAGCACATAATATTCTTAAGCCCAGTTTTCAACAACTACAAAAATCACAAGGAATACAAAGAAGCAGGAAAGTACAGCTCATTT